AGTTGGTACAAAATTAGAATAACTATTAAAAAAGCAGAATTTCAATCTATTTAATCATCTATTTATAATGTTTGATTTATTAACAACTTGGGGACCGAATATCTTTGTGTGGCGTCATATCGTCATATCTCGCTAGCCATTCCAGAATAATTATTGATATGACTATATTCATTATCATTTACGAAATGTCTTAAATGCAGTGCGACAGAAAGCTACTCCAAAACCAAAATATTAACCTGGGAACTCGAGTTATGCACTTTTTTCCATGAATGGGAGTAGATAGGCTAACAATATATATATATATATATATATATATATATATATATATATATATATAACAATAGCAGTTGTTTATCCCTTGTTTCCTATTTAGAATTGGGGTTCCGCTTCCTTCTAAAGTCTTTTATTTCTCTTTCTCTCCCATTAGTCCCTTGCGACAGTGACATTATCACCTTGCTTGGGGTGAACTGATTAAAAAATAGCCCCGTCAGATCTAGACTGTCATACGGATGTCATGCATGTTGTCCAAATCGTCAGAACTATCAGTTGCATACAGCCGTTTTCTCAAGTCAATGATAATTATAAATTCAAACGAATGAATTCTCTCGGGAAAACAAAAAGGAATAGTTTTACATATGATAAGGAGATTCGTATGTGTTTCCGGAGAAGCCATGTTTAGGACTCCAGATTCAAACGGGCCGGATTCATCTACTATGTTCCAGGTGAGAACGTATTCCACAAAGGGAAAACGGTGAGTCTTGGTTTTCCTAAATCGAGGACTGCGAGCGGGAGCTTTTTTTTTCTATACCTGGAAAAGATATATTCCCCCCAAAAAAAAACAGCATCATGGAATTGTATGCTGCTGGTGAAGCGGATTTAGCCTCCGAAGGAGGAATGCTAAAAGAAGCAATCTCTCATTTTGGCTACTGTAAACCGAGTGAAATTGACTGCCACTTTCGTCACTGTATGGAGTGACGTCATGTGACCCACGTGACCTATCCCCACCAAAAAGGGGACAGTCGCCTTCTGTATCCCTACTACAATATACTTGAGAAGTTTAATTTTATGAAAGTCTGTTTTAAAAGAAATTTCAATGCACAGTAACACTAACTGTTCGTTCAATAAATGCCTAATGCTTCCTGTATGGAAATGGCTAATCTCACTAATGGCATTACCTAATTAACTGCGAGATTTAAAAGATATTTTTTGCATCAAATAGCTCGTCAGGTGCTCATAAAGGCTTCAATTGTATTGTATTTATGCAAATAAAAGCATTGGTTATATTCAAATGCTAATTAAAAACATTAAATAGCAACCAAATTCAAAGTACGATTTTGCTTTTAAAAATCTTTTTGACTTCTTCTTCAAAACAGTCAGGACTTGAAATATTACATATTTTTTTTATATTACCTCGCAAATTACGCGGATTTTTTTTTTTTTAATGAGATATTAAAAATTTTAAGATAAGGATTTAATTTTTTTTTTCTTTATCGATCCGGAATGCGACATATTTATCCAAGGCGGAGAAGCCCAAATATTCTGATACTAAGCACAAACCCGATTCATACGTCATTCAACCCTTCAATTATATCCGTTTCTAAATAGAAAATATACATATTATCGGTTCATTTGTTTTTAAATGAGATAAGACATCCAGCAATTGAATAAATATTGCCGTTATATGTTTTATCACTTATGCAACAAAAGAAATAAAGAGAAGTAAAGAGAACGACAAGAAGACCAACAAAGTTGTATAGTAAATAAAAAAAAAAAAGGTTTTATTATAATTTTAGTGATTATGGTGAGTGGCTAAAAAGGAAAAATAATGTAGGCTTACTGGCAAGGAATTAAAAATACTTCAAAATAAATTCAGTTGGGAGTTGCTTGTTTTTTTTTTTGTTTTTTTTTGTGGTATAGTTTACATGTCAGGTCAGCGAATGGTAGTAAAAGGATTGCCCTGAAGCAGGTTTCTACAACAACTGACTTCGCAAGCCAACTCGCTTAATTTTGGTGATAACCAACGAATACGAATACCCTGATTAATGACCTCCACTTGTAAGGTCATCCGACCAGATCAAAGAATTGTTTGAAGTCTTTTATCAAAATGACCCAGAAAATAGATTCTCTTAACAGTTTGTACTTCCCAAAACCATTGACAAACATAGCCAAAAAGGGTTTTTTAAAAAATTGAAAAGATCTAAAACTGTCAAAGAATTGCAAAATGCAACGACCAACCACTGTTGTAAAAGTAACCATACTATGTTTGTGTAAGTCAGGCGGTGGAATTCTTTGCTTGACTTAGGAGAATGCCCTAGAATTTAAAAAATTCTTTTAATATAGACTAAACATTCATACTACTTTTCTGTTTGTTGAAACTTGACTAATGCATGGAATAATAATGCAACACAAAATGTACTTAGAACAAAATGTATTGAAACAAGAAAGTGTACACAATATTTACATATAGTCTTTTTTGTATATTCCTGGTAAGACTGTTCCTGGAGAATGTGTTGACTGAGTCGCAGTCGGCAGAGTCTCTGATTGAATCTCTTGATTCTCCCTCTGTTCCCGGTACCAACCATATTTATATGGTCGGTACTCCACTATGCAAATTAGGTGGATCCTACCACAACACTGTTGAAGATTTTGCCACAAATTACAAGAAGATATGATATTGAATGTATTAAGTTTTAATTTTGTTGTAAATGAAAAAAAAAATTTCAAAACAATTAACGTCACCTTTGCGCTGGAAATGCCGGGGAATAAGACCCAATGCTAAAAAATGGCCACCTTTTTCAGACTTTTCTTTTTCGTGTCTGCAATAGTGTCAAAAGGACGGCCTTTCCCATGACACCGCTTTTTAAAAAACTTCCTTCACTCCTCGGCAATGTTTATTCTTTTAAAAAGCGATTATTATAATTGTAATAAAACCTAAACATATGATATAAGTAAATTTATTACATTTCTTTGTTCTTAAGAAAGGACAACACAAATGATAACTATTATGTATTTATTAGATTGTTTCTTTCTTTTCATTATATTATTTATTGGAATGTTTAGCAAAACATCGGATAATTGCCAGTTGATTCAAACTTTATAAAATTGTAGGATTTCCTTAGATAATTTAGTAAATGTTTATCAATAAAAATTATTTTCATATTTATTTCTTTATAAATTGATAAATAACAAATATCGCATTATACTAGTTCTAACTGTATCAGTTTTTAGAAAATAAAAAATATAAAATTATTCTTGTGAATATAAAATCTAATAAATATATACTGTTTGATATTTTTTGTTGTAAATTTTCAAGAACAAAAAAAAGTATAAATTCACTTTCATCATATGTTTAGTTTTTATGACAATCCTAATATCTCTTTTTAAAACAATAAACATTACCGAGGAGGGAAGCTAGTTAACATAAAAGCGGTGTCATAGGATAAACAGTCCTTTTCACAATCCGTCGTGTACGAAGATTCCATCTTTAGTTTGTCGTCTTTTCTTTATAGACTTTCTTTTTTTTTTCTTGATATATTTTTGTATATCCTATACGTTTGTATAGCGATATAATAAGCTTAGATGTGGCACAAAGCTGAAAGTGTGGAGCATTCAGTGAGGATTGAACTCACTACTCAACTGAATTGATCTAGCGAGACAAGTTTACTAATCATTACATCACATCAAAGTTCCCCCAATATGCTTTTCACGTGATGATTAATTTTGTGTATAGGTTGATCATACGTTTTGAAAGCAAGATACATCAAATGAGATATAATTTAAAAAGGTACATCTAAGAAGACTCAGCAAGTCATTCAGCTTGGCTTGGAAATCGTCGCTCCATAATTGCGACATTTTGCCATACTAGGTAAAAAGCATTGCATAAAACTAAAGTCAAGTCAAACAAATTTTTAAGGAAAATAAATGTCCTTTGTCCCAGAAAGAAGGTTTTTTTAAACAGTGAATAAGTGTTTGGATTCACGAACGATGAATAATCGTTTCTTCTTTTCGGTATTACTGATAAACATAAATTCTCTTTCACTCTCTCTCTCCCTCTCTCTCTCTCCCTCTCTCTCTCTCTACACACACACACACACACACACACACACATATATATATATATATATATATATATATATATATATATATAACTCCATATACGTAACATAATGAAGAAATAACAGTTTCATTCATTTTTGGCAATGAAACATAAATGTTTGCAGATATATATAAAATTAAATTGAAACCCAAACAGATATGTATAAAACACACAGACACACACAGATATGCACGCATGCAAAGACAGAGAAGTGCATCTTTTTGTTGTTTGTCAGCGCGTATACAAGAACATGTGTATATCTCCATGCGAAATATACAATGATATGTGTGTGTGTGCTTGCTGAAGAGAAATTGCAAGGCTGAGTACTTTTGCCCTCATCACACATGTCTTGGCAAAAAGAATCGGGTATAGTGTCGGGCAGAAATCGGTTTCTTGAGACAAAATAAGGAATGGCTATCAAGAGAGCTGACGTCGGGGAGGGAAATACGAACAACAGACAAAATATCAACAAAGTAAAAGAATAAATTGACAGTAACCGTTGAAAATATTTTTGTAATAGATTCTTTATGACAAAATAAATGTTTTCATGTCTTTAAGATATAAATGCAAAAAAAAAAAAAAACGAAAATTTTACAAGAGGGAGAAGAAGAAATAGGAAAGGATGACGAAAGAGAATAAATGAAGAAGGAAAGAAATTTATAGAACATTCAAGAAAGAAATCCATAAAGGCCTAAAAAAGAAAAAAAGAAAGGAAGATAGAAAGAAAGAAAGAAAGAAAGAAAGAAAGAAAGAAAGAAGAAGGATAATGTAGGAGAATAACAAGGTAGAAAAATTAAGTAACATGGGAAGAAAGAAAGAAAGAAAGAAAGAAAGAAAGAAAGAAAGAAACAAGCAAACAAACAAACAAACAAACAAACAAAGGACGGTGAAAGAGAACAACAAATCAGGAAAATTTAGGAAAGCAGAAAGAAAGAAAGAAAGAAAGAAAGAAAGTGGGCAACATGTCAGGAAAATTAAGGAAGGTATAAAGAAAGAAAGAAAGAAAGAAAGAAAGAAAGAAAGAAAGAAAGAACGAAGAAGAAGAATTTTGTTGATAAAAAGACATCAAGCAGAGTTCCGTTCTGATTAAAAGCCGGCGTTTATGTTTGTACGCGTGTTCGTTCCTGATCGGAATGATGATAAAAAGTGACAAACTAAAAAACGCCCGCTCGTCATTTGATTAGGCGACGAGCCGCTAGCAATGTCCAAGCAATGTCTCAACATATGTTAATCTCAGTTGTCCATTACGAAACCACCCACGTCAGCCCATTTCTAAAGAAGAAGCAAAAGGCGAATGTCGTCATTCAACAGATAACCAGTCGAGAAATGAACTTTTCGCTTTGGACACTGGGCGTTATTCAACAGAATGAGCAAAATAAAAACATTTGGTCAAATTTCCACGAAATATTCTCTACGAAAATCTACACTGATTCTCTTCGGAAAGAAATGAAAGCCGAACAGGCAAAAACACATCAGCTTTTATTTCTCTTCATTTAAAAGACAAGAAACTTATAGACTGAACTTCGGTTGAACGCCCAATGAGAGCTACGAAGAATGCATGTTATATCATGTTGCCTACTAGCCGAGTTCGAATCGCATAAGGGTTTTATTGATATGACAGTTGTGTAGATACTGTGTGTTGTTTAACAATGTCTCATTTCATAACTACACATGTCTAACTGCGTAGAATCATCGACTTTTCGGTTTATCAACGTGAAAAATTCAAGAAAATTAATCTGAAAATTAATCTGAAATTTAACAGGGTATTTTTAAATGTCTAAAACTTTCAGAATTCTCAAGAAACTCATGAAAATAATTAAAACACAGGCCAAAAAATGAATCAAAGTCTTTTGTTATACTTATTATTAAGCCAACATATATTAGGTTATATAAAAGGATTTTCTGAAAGGATATAAAAACAATTGTAAGTTAAATTCATTTAAATATTATTTATCGAAAATGTAATCACCAACAAGAAGGCAAATTTTGGATTCTGCATTTAAACAAATATGGACTTTTTTCGAAGAAAATGTTTCAAAATCTCTATTCAGTTTCCTTGTTTTTAAATATTTTCTTACTTATGAAATGTTCTCGCAATCGAAAAAATAAAAAATCTGATGGTTAGTATGGAGGATCATAAACATCTTTACAGGTTTTCCTTTACGGAGTGTTCCCTTGCATGTTGAAGAATAACACCTTTTCTGTTGATCAAAACATGGCACTTTCAACGTAATATTTCGTTTACTGTATCCAGATTCAAGTTTCTTCTATGTTCCATCAGATTTTGATATTGGCACTAGTTTCTCATTTTGCAATAATCATTGCTTTTTTCGTTCTTTTTTGGTATGCAAAACCCAATTTTTATTAACTCTAACAATGCAATACAAAAATGAACAATTGGCTTTTCTGGTTAAAAACTACTAAAGAGATGCCTCGTCGTGTTTGTTTCTCAAGCAAAATGTGCCTTTTAATCACATTTTAATCACCCAGATTTTCTCGAAAGTCATAACTGTTCTGAATGGGTAAAATGTGCTTTAAATGCAGTTAGAACTTTGTTCGTAAAGCTCTGTGTAGCCAAGCGGCCAAAGCATGTCGGATCAAAAGAGCGGTTTCTCCTGCAAAGGGAGATGCAGGTTCGAATCCTACCAGAGAGTGAATTTTTTTGAATATGTTTTCTCAAATGTTCAGGCCGGTAGACAAAATAAAATACTTTAAAAAAAAAAAGCAGAGCATCTACTCAAATACATGTATCCAGTAAAAATAAAGTTTAAAGTAATATAGTTACAGGTTGTGATGGATAAATTGTCGTCTGAATGACGCAAAAATGAAAATAACACTGACATCTCATTCTAAAAGATACATTTACCAAAATTACACCAACATACCTTGAAAATCAGTAAATTTATTCAAATAATTCGCCACTGGTTTCAACCACGGCCTCCAGACGACTTTGAAATCTTCTGCATCTCTACTGGACAATCCCCTTGCTTAATTTAGTGTATGCTTCCATAATATAATCGTTGCCTTCTGTTCATTTTTGGTGTTGCAATCAGATTTTTTAGTCTCTCGCTCAACTGCGCCCCACACATAATAGGGAGTTAGGGTAGCCAGATGTAAGGGGTGATGCAGTCGCAAAAATTGTCTGACAGACATGACGAGGTTCTTCTATTTGTGTGGCATGGTTCAGAGTCATATTGCCACACATAGGGTTTTCCTGTACCCACCCTTTTGACCCAGGGAAGCACTACCTCCTCAAGACACTTGAAAAGTGGACACGCTACCATGAAACTGCGGAGTTGGGAACATAGCAACAAGGATTGATATGGACAATTACAGTTAAGATACTATAATATTATATATATATATATATATATATATATATATATATATATATATATATATATATATAGTACCCAGCGTCATAGTACTGGCTATGTATTTCTACTAATATATACTTAATAACTCTGTTATTCAGCATTGAGCACGGTTTTTCTTACACCAAAAGATATATGTTTGTGAACACGTACACGTATATTTATATATATATATATATATATATATATATATATATATATATATATATATATATATATATTCATACACAGACAGACTGTTTCGCTCATCAGTGTGGCTAGACGTGCGATTGCTTCAAACCGGGAACGAAATACGATTTGACATCAGTCGGAGTCTCCCACCCTTAGGCTCCCAGTGCACGCAGCGTATAATGGGTTTTTACTGGCTACCAGCGAAGAGCTTTTAGCGTTAATTAGCAGCAGCAACAAATTCCCTTTCTTCCAAAGTGCTCAACCTACGAGAGGTATATATATATATATATATATATATATATATATATATATATATATATATATACAAATTCATGAATTATTCACACAAAAACAAATGCAAAGGTTAATGATTTAATTGGCGAGAAATCCATCGTCGCAAACAATTCAAATAATATACAAAAACTCCGAATCCGTTATGAATGAAAAGATCCTTGTTTCTATAAATTTCTGCCGCATTAGTTCTTATTTTTACTACAAGCTTTCGTCTGTTCCTACAGATATCTTCAGGCATGGAATAGATGTTGTTCTTGTTTTTTCTCTCAGTAATAAGAGGACAACGAAAATATATGTATTGTTGTATCCGAAAATGCTATTGGAAATGAGTTATTGTTTTTGGAGCGTGCAGTAGCAACGCTGAGTTTGATTTTAAATTTTTACAGTTGTGCGTTCATGTACAAATATGGTGATAAGCGAATTTTTTAGTGGTAAATTTTCTGTCAAAGTGGCATGAACTATATTGTTCAATAATTACAGTAATGTCGCACTTATTATCCAAAAGTCGCACTTGGATCAGTTATTTTAATTTCGATAAACGTGCAATCAATTTACAAATTCATGAATTATTCACACAAAAACAAATGAAAGGTTAATGATTTAATTATGAGAAATCCATCGTCGCAAACAATTCAAATAATATACAAAAAACCTCCGAACCCGTTATGAATGAAAAAGATCCTTGTTTCTATAAATTTCTGCCGCATTAGTTCTTATTTTTACTACAAGCTTTCGTCTGTTCCTACAGACATCTTCAGGTATGGAATAGATGTTGTTCTTGTTTTTATGTATTGTTGTATCCGAAAATGCTAATGGAAATGAGTTATATATATATATATATATATATATATATATATATATATATATATATATATATATATATATATATAGAGAGAGAGAGAGAGAGACAGACAGACAGAGACCGGTCACTTTATTAAGTATAGTCTTCTAGTACTGTTGGCTTTGTATATCATGGTGTTCTGAAAGTTGTAATTCTTCTAGACTGGTTAGCTCCAGCATTCGAATCATAATATTGCAAATGTGCTCTGCCTGACTGAGATCCGGTGCTTGTAGGGGTCATTCTAAAGAGAAAACTTATTCAGAGAAAACTTATTGCTGTATTCCATGAACCAATCTCTCACTACATTTTATTTCTAACATTGTGTGTTGTCCGGCTGAAGTGGTAACCAGAAGATGGATGCACTGTATTCATCAAATGGGGTCAACCATAATGCCTAGGTAGGCTGTTGCAGTCAAACAATCTTTTATTAGTACCAAAGGTCCCAATATATGCCAAGAATTCTTCAACATGCCACTACACCGCCATCACAAACTTGAACCGTTATTACAAGGCAGGAGAAAGCTACACTTTCATGTTGTTTACGCTAAATCCTGCCCCTGTCCATCAGAATGTCGAAGAATTGGTATCCTTAGCGAATTGTAAGTTTAGTTTCATTGTCTAACCTGACAAGTGTAGCAGTGAACACCCCCACCCCGTGTGTGTTCTTCTGTTGCTGTATCCCCTTTGCATCAAGCTCCGACGTGTTTTACACTCGAGATGCACTTCTGTATATCTCCATTGAAAAGATTGCTTATTTATACTACGGTTGCCTTTCTATCAACTTGAACCAGTCTGGCAATTCTCCTCTGACCTTCTTTCTAGTCACAGAATTGCCGTTCACTGGATTATTTCTCTCTTTCTATCCATTCTATGTAAACCCTATAGATAGCTGTGCCTTTAAAGCCTAATAGATCAGCAGTTTTTGAAAAAAAAAGTGTCTGTGTGTTTGTGTGTACGCTGATTTTTTTCTCGAACGGATCAGCTTGTCTAGCATCAACAACCAATGTTTCGATCACTAAAAATATCTTTCCGATACCAATGCATGAAATTCAGCAATGGACGTGACTATTTTAAATGCCTATATCCATTAAATTGCTGCTATGTCATTGGTTAATTAGGAATTTACATAAATGATCATTCGTGTACGTATACTTAATTATGTGACCAATATATATATATATATATATATATATATATATATATATATATATGTGTGTGTGTGTGTGTGTGTGTGTGGGTCTGTCCGTGGTGGTGGGGGACCAAGTATCTGAGAATACATCTCTAGGTGGTTATAAATGGAAAACAGCTTAACGTGATGTTACTGGGCATGCGCCAAATGTTATTGAAATCAGTTATAAGTCAGTTTCTGAAATGAATTGGCATAAAGTGATCGTTACAAAAGCCATTGAGATAGAGTAGCTTCTTGTAAGTGGCCAAACAACCAGAACCCCCTGACCGCTGTGTGAAGACACCCCCCTTCCCGGTGGTACTAACGGCGATGCCCACTAAATTCACGTCATCTCTGATAGTTCTGGGGTACATACATAACCAGGGCTATGCTTCTTCCTGTAAAGATCAAGTTTCAATATCAGCACATATATCAAGTACAGCATATAGCCCACGTGACCTAGGGGTAAATGACCAAAAATTGTTCCCTCCAACAGCTGACCAAATGTAGAATTACATTTTAAATATACTATTTTTTTTAATACAGAATATTTTTTTTATTTACATAAATAATTTGTTGTCAATCACCAGACGAAGACTCTCTCTCTCTCTCTCTATATATATATATATATATATACATATAAATGTGTGTGTGTGTGTGTGTGTGTGTGTGTGTGTGTGTGTGTGTGTGTGTGTGTGTGTGTGTGTGTGTGTGCTGAATCTTGGACAGACCAAGAAGTCTTTATTAAAGATTCTGATGCTTGGACAGATTATGGAAAGTGGGCCGGCATCCTTCATGTGAATGTAGTGCTAAAATATATACTTCTATGAACAGACACACACACCACAATCATACATGCACCCACACACGTACAAACACACACATGCACATATACATGCTTATATATAAACTCGTGTATATGTATATATCAATTTATATATTCATAAATATGTATGCATATTTGTGTTTTTCGTCATATTCTGAAAACTTTTACACACACACACACACACACGCACACATATATATATATATATATATATATATATATATATATATTCTGAGCTTATATTTACTTATATATAAGCGTACCTAACAAGAAGCAAGCGATTAGTACTGTCTGGCTTTATAACAATAGAATAGAGAAAAAAATGAAAATTTTTCTGTTTATGATTTGCTTTCACTCATAATTATTCCAATTTGCGTGCGCATGCGCATCAGCTGCAAGGCAGCTTTGCAGTCAAGATGTCTTTTCCCGCCAATGAAAAAAGGGAAAACAATTGAATCATTATGACGTCAGTAGAGACACAGAATTGTCGATTCCCCCCAAACCAGGTGTCTTGATAGTGGACAGATACTGTCAATGTATTTATTGTGGTTATGATATCATGAACTGCCGATAGGTGGAGACATTCGTGTGTTCTTTTACTATTAGAATTTATTTTGTTTGTTTATTTATCAAAGATCATAAATCGAGAGCATGTTCCGCCTTTCTCGCGTTTTATATAGATGGATGGATTCGATAGGAGAAAAATCAAACGAAACTCAAGTAACGCTCGCTAACAATCGGGCGCTACGAAAAATAATATCCCCCATTTTCTTGTTGCGCAAACAATTGCTCTTGATTTTTATAATACACGATAAGATTTATTAAAATAAGAATTACAGTGCTTTAATAAATTAAAATTACAAAGAATTAAACTGAGTTTTTTATGTATAAAAGTTTATCATTTCCGAAAATTTCCATCTTTATTCAGAAAATCGGAAATTCTGTACTTATAAAAAGCATCATTCATCCAAATATGCAGCAACAATTTTAATTCAAAATTCCGTTTCTCTCAAATTGTAATTCGAATTCAAACGAATCTTATTGTATATTATAAAAGTTATTAACAATTTTTTAAAGTACACGAGAACAGGTGCTGGCATTCAGTTTCATAAAGTATGGACCCGTTGGGAAAACCTAGATGAGGTTCCATTGACCCTCTGGCTTAATAGAGCTGATTTGATCAAATAAAATAGCATGTAAAAAATTAATTTAAAAAAAAAGCATGATTTTCTATTTCAATGCAAAGGAACAAAAAGACAAATTGAGCGAGTTGATAGAGATATTCCGATTCCTGTTGTATGAAGAACATTCTTGTCACGCAATCTATTGATGGCGAGTTCAATCCTCCCAAGGCATTCGATTCTGTCGCTTCCATCTATTTTCTCTAGCAAATGGATTTTCATTTATTTCTGTAGTTACTGCCAACTTTCAATATGGCTGCTGAACGCAAGTAGCTAAAAGACTACGGAGTGTCTTTTTGAAAGAAATATTTCAATATTATGCAGATTGTGTATTTGACGTTAAATACATAAAATAAAAAATACAGGTCTACACACAGGACATTTTTCGATGATATAACCAACCATGAATTGTGGCTCAATTTGCCATTATGGGTGAGGTCTAAATAAGATATCTTGATATTGACTAAGCTTGATAGATATGATGAAGATTAATTGTAAAAAGCGAAAATGAAATATTTCCAAAAATTTACGTATTATTTAAATAGTTGTAAAATAGAATGGTATAATTACAAAACATCGAATGAAAAATGAAATACCGTTAATTCTTTGGCGATCCAAATAAAAGTTGTTTTTTTTTTTATTGTATATGCGTGTTTGAAAAGTTCTATTTTTTTCTTTATGGGAATTTTAATATGCTATATCATATTTACGCTGAAGGTGCATATATATATATATATATATATATATATATATATATATATATATATATATATATATGAAATTGAAGTATCTGTAATAAGGCAAAAGTTGAAACATCCGGTGATAATGCAAGTCATGTAGCAATTTTAAAGAATACTGATTATAAAATCGAAAGGGAAAAAAATATTTGTAAAAACTATATAGAATCCCCTCAGAATTAAATGAAACAGAAAATGAATAATCGTTAAAGTTGCAAAACATAAGAAAATTTTGCCGAAGACTGGATAACTAAGGTTAGTGTCATCGAAATTTATCGGAGATAATCAACTCAAAGGGAGGCCTAAATATTTCTGGCTTACAGCTGTTTTGTGATGCCTACGAACACTAGTTACCACTTTTGTAATGTCAACGAATGCTCGTTGTCACTTTCGTAATTTTCGTTCTAGTAGAGACTTTGTAATCACAGATACAACTAGAGTAACGCCGTTGAACAATACTGGTGTCAGACGCCTTCGAATAACACTCGCACTAATAGTACTTGCTCGATAATACTCGCTCGAATAGTAACCACCGAATAGTAATCCGTGTAGTGATCAGTATAGAGAAATAGTATAGTGAATAGTATAGGGAATAGTGATGTGTATAGTAATAGTGAATAGCATAGAGAATAGTGATGTGCATAGTAATAGGGGATAGTGTAGAAATAGAGATCATTTAGACGTCACGCTATTTCCCATATATACATTTCCTTTACCGTCACGTGATCTACTTATTCAAAATGGGATCTGTTGTGTTTGCTCTCTAGTGATCTGTGTTCAGACTCCAGTGTCAGTAGCAACTATTTTATTCCTATATAACAAGTTGGTTGAAAAATATATTTCGTTAATTCTTTTACTTAATAATTAAGAAGGAAAAGATATTAAGATTTGCAGTGATTTTGAACTTTCAATTATTCTAAAGAAGATCATCTGTAAATGTCACAAAATGTAGCGTTCTTTTTTTTTAGGAGTTCTCACTCTTGCATAAAATAGAAACGTGACAATACAATTTTCTGTCTCTGGAGCTTTTATTTGGTACAAAAATGACAACTTCATTTCTGTAGGAAAATACGTAACGTTTGTTATATATATATAGAGATTACAAGGTTAAACTACAGGAAGCGAGAATAGAAGGATTATGTAGCGCCAGTGTTGTCACATAAGATAGTCTACCTGTCAACTTTGAAATACAGCATCTGAAATCACAGCCTTTACATCCGTTTCTTGTGCCAGGGAAAGGCAATCACTTCAGTCACGATGCGTTCTAATGTTTATATTACTTTAATAATTATTACGAGAAAAGAATGTCTTTAAATGTGTCGAAATGAATAATTTTTTAATTTTAATTTTTTTTTCCATGAGGAAGGAGAAATTTTGGATGGAGCTTGTGTTTGAAATTGAAACCAATGAACGCGTGGGAGATATCAGTTTTCTTTTCTTTTCTGTTTTTTTTTTTTTCTTCTTTTAAATAGATAGATGTTGCTGCATTTGATGCAATACGACTTCATAGCAATGCTTACTATTTTAGGCTAAAATGGTTTATTTTGTTCAGAAATGTAGACCTTCGGAATAGGTTTTCAGTAAGTATTGATTGCGTGTGAAAATAGCGCCATCAGTTATCCAGAATGAAAACCAAAAGTTGGTATTCTCTTTCTGCATCTTCCGGTGTTTTCAAGATAAATTAGTAGAAAAACGGGTAAAATTTTTGCTAATGTCCACTTAAAAAAAATTGGACCGATTGCGACACTGCAGTATGCATATTTTTTCACAGTGGCGTACAAAAATATTCTTTCAATTCTCAGCAATTGTGTTGAACAAAGTGAGTCATGAAAAAATTGTTCAAGGTTCCTTAACCATAGAAAGGCCAGGGAATATGACAAAAAAGCTTCTTTTTTTTTCTCCTAAAAATGAAGATAGAAACAGGTTTTTAAAAGAAAGAAAGGAGTGAATGAAAAAAGGAAAAACATAAAAGTAAAGTATTAGAAAGAAACGAACGAGTGAAAATGATTGGAACCCAACTCGGAAAGGGAAAAAGAGAAAACTAAATAAAATATAGAGAAAGAGAGGTTACGTAAAAGAGAGAAAGAAAAAGTTTATGTAAGATAGAAGCGAAAAATGAACAAGTATATAAAAAAGAGAAATGGTTAAAATGAAAAAATAGGAATAAACGCATGAGTAAAAAGAAAAGAACTAGAAAGAAAAGTGAAAGAGACAAAATTAAGTCAGAAAAGAATAAAAGTTGTAATTAATGGTAGAAAGAGAGACAGAGAAAGAAAGAAAGAAAGAGAGAGAGAGAGAGGAGGAGGAGGAATAAATGAACAGAAAGGAAAATAGAAAAACTAAAATATTTCTAAATATAACTTTAAAATGTTATTCATTCTTTTGTGAGACGATCACAGAAAGGATCAGAAAAACTGAATGAACTAAAAAGAAGTAAATAATAATAATAACAATAAAAATCTAGTCAAGTGAAGACATCAGCACGTCAAAATGAATACATGTGCTCCTAGGTCAGGAGGGAAAAAGATTTCTTCGTGATTTTGCAAAATTTGGTGATGCAAAGAAATAGAAACAAAGAAAATCAAATTCACCAGAAGCCGCTCATTGGTGAGTTCAGAAAGAGAAAAGAGAATAGAAAGCAAGAAAGAAAGTAAGCACATATCAATTGTCCAGAGTCACACAACAAACATTTTAATGAGTTGAAATTGCGCATGCGTCAACGTGTGTATTTGTGTGCGCGCATGCGCTTAAGTTCGTGGGTTTTCGCGTGTGCTCGTCTGTTTACGTATGTCTGCGATTATGAAGGCGCTTTTTGTTCTCTGAGAAACAAAATATTCGATCTATTTCTGAAGGGATAAAAGAATTTTATTTTAAAAAAGTTAGTTAAAACAAAAAACAAAAATGATTTCTTTTTGTTGCTTGTGTTTTTATTTAGGTTCTTGTTCTAACTTTTGAAAAAAAAATCGTTTTTATTTGTTTAAATTTTTTCTATTCTTTCTGTTCTCCATGTTCGCTACCGAATCAAAATACAATTCTTCCTTCGGCTAGCAGTATTTTGGCCGGTAATTTTTCCTCTGGACAAAATACTTTTTCATTAAGAAAATTTAATGGAAAAAGTTAAAACATTAACTTCGAAAGTAGCGAGCCACTTTTGAAATAAACATGACGAAGCAATAGTAATTATCTTCGACAAGAAATAAAATTCAACTATTTCTAAATGTGGTTATTACACAGCAGCACTAGCATTCACAATTTCGTTTATTTTACATTTTCATGAGGTGCGAGAAGAAAATGGAGCCTAGTGGTTACTGCATCGGCAAGTAAAGTTTATAAATTTAATTTATTTTAGTCACATATTGATGGAAATGATATCTTTTAGTGCTGTTTTGTTTTTTTGTTTTTTTAATTACCGATGATCAATGTTCGAGTTCAGATAAATACAATGATTTTCTAAAGTTCATTTTGAAGAAAGAAACAGTAGCATGATCATTGCCACCAAAAGCGAATTGTTAACCATAACCATAATCACGACAGAATCATATTTAAGGCTGAAGTTAAATTTTCTTTTGTTTTACACAAGAAAAAAAAAGTAAAATGGACGATTTTTTGCACGTATGAACATTAATCTTTCGATAGTCCATGAACGAAATGGTTAATGGGTTATAATTTCTGTTGCGTGGAACATGTGTTTGTTTGTTTTATATACCGTATATTTCCGTGTATAAGGCGACCTTTATATAAGACGAAGTAAAAAAATATAGTAAATTTTCATGAATTCATCCTATACTTGTAGTATAAGACGATTGATTATTAATTATAAAGATGATATTATTTAAAATGTTGTTACTATATCCTTAGAAATTCAAAATAAACGAATTAACAAAACCGATTCTATATCATGTTTTCGACTACACACATCCCATAAAAGGGAAACTATTGTTTTGTTTACGTTTCATCACGTGATATCTTGCGAATGCTGATTCTTTTTTTCTTTTCCTATATCTAAACAGTTACAAATATCCTTGTGTACTAATGGTCCTTTACTTATATTTCATCGACAATCACAAAATAATAATAATAACAGTACATTCCATTGCTATGAACGCAATCATTAACTCGATTTTTATATTTTCTCAGTTGACTTTGCATGTATACCAGTCGATTTCATTGATATGGAATTATTCTTTGAATAGGCAACTTAGTTATGCCAGTAATATATAAGGTAGAAATGGTTTTATTACTTTATTTTATTTGATAATGTGAATCTTTTCATGTACGCTATTGGTTATCGCACTGTGGCCGAGGTTAGCCTTACCGACAAACATCACTCAGAATTTAAGGTTTCTTTTTTAGAATTGTAGTATAAGACGATACCCAATTTTTAAGTAAGGGGGGTGGGATTTAAAGGTTGTCTTATACGCGGAAATATACAGTACATCTGATATTTACTGACCATTTCCAAGTTGCCTCTATGTTTTTTTTTTCTGTTAAAAATGAGTTATCAGTACATAAACACTGATTATTTACTGATTATTAAACAGAGAAAGATCATCCTCATATGAAAAAATGTCGTATTGCCTGGGTTTTATGGGTAACTAAGAATTGGATTGCTTCTGTGATACACGTTACTGGAAATAAGCAGAGCCCATCGGTATACTTGGCATCATTTTTTAACATCTATTGTCTACACGGTAAGCGTAAAATGATTACATAGTCTTTTCATTTTCTTTTATCGGATATTCCATTTACACACTCGGTACAGTAAGGGATTCGAGTTTGAAATCTATGGTCTGTTATGAAGGCGACATTTTACCCTTGGTGCACTGGGAAGAATTTGACTGAGAGATTGATCCCCGGGGTCATCCTGGGTATGACGATAAATTACATCCGGCAGTAACGCCTATGATCTGGAGGTTTCGAGGAGCGTGGAACCACCTCTTAATTGCTGTTGCTCCCAGGTCCACCCTGGCCCGGGTGGTAGCACCTGTTAGAGTCCTAGTTATGAATAAATAATGGACCCCCAAACGGGAGTGAAAACACTATGAAAGTTTTTATAGTGAAGCTGCCAGCAATACATTTTCATGGTAAAAAATATTACCAGCAATACGTTTTTGTAAAGAAAAAAGTTTACCAGCAATACATTTTTGTAAAAGAAATTACAAACGCTCCCAAGAAAATTAAATTTCGACATTAAATGACCCATAAGTAGTCGAATATTTAGGCAAATAGACGAATAAACAAAACAAACAAACGAACTCCGGGGACTCGCCCTAGTTCACTATTATTGTCTTCCTAAACTTTTGAAATGAAAAACATCGACATTTAAAAATAAACGTTTTTTTTCCCTTTTCATAATTTTTGTTTTATTTATTTTGGCCGAATAGTTTTCCGGGGGTTAGAGGTCATATATTGTGTAATTAAGCCATTAGTCTAGGTTAGTGGCTTTATACAAAAGGGGATGTCTCCCCTCGGGGTGAAATTTATTGTTTCAATAGAGAATTAAGACCATAGATTGTCAGATTCAAATTTTTGCAATATTGTGCTTTCGCTACGATATCAAATGTTATTATGCAAATCAAAGTTCCCATAATAAAATTGCTATTGGTTAACCCTAGTAGATAATATTTTCAGGATATATTTATATTTAGGGCATAAATATACCACGCAACTTTACAACGTTGGGAAAAGTCACTGGCGTGTCACTTTCCCACCGCCGTAGGCCTGGTCCTCTTTGCCTTTTCTATAAGTACTTTCCTGGTAATTGTTCGGATTAGCTCTTCGCTATAGGAGCTAGATTTTATGAATTTAAGCATACTACTAGATTGGCAAAGTTTCATCATTTTACAGTTGAACTGAGTAGATATAACCGTAAGTTCTATGCTAACAGCTTCTTTTCTTGCACTTCTCGCTTGTGAAAATCTCTTTTGGCTCCATGCTTTCCAGCCAACTGATCTTCAAAAACTTAAATGCCATGTCAATCTACTGCCTTCCTGATTACTCTTCTATTGTTACCGCTCCTTCATAATGTTTTCTGTTTTCTTTCATGCCCAGTCACCTTAGTAGCTTTACTGCCTTATTTCGATTTTTAAAAAAGCTAGTGTCGTAGCAGTGAAGTTATAAGACACTTCCAAGTATCAAGATATATGCGGAGAATCATTGTATTTTCTCACGTGCGTCTGTGTGTGTGAGAAATTTTTTTGTGGGTGTGAATAACCATTCATAGTAATTGATCGAGTCTACCTCAACAGAATGCAGAAAGAAGCATATATATCCTTGCTGGATCCAGCTTCTAATCCTCTGGAGAGAGCGGCTTGGTGAAAGAACACGTTGCTCTTGGAGCCCTATCCATTCGGTTATGTATACTTGGATGAGTATCACCACCGGAATTTAGTGAGTAGCTGCGCTATATTGAGTCTAGGTAGTTTCTTCTCCTCGTTGGTCCAGTGGTATGACGCTTGCATTGTATCGTAACGGTCCAGGTTCGATTTAGGTAATGGACGCGCGCTGCTGAAAAGTTCCAAAGTCTAGTGCTTTCTCTGTTGAGAATCCTTCTAGATCCAATGAATATACCATATATATATATATATATATATATATATATATATATATATATAGACAAAAGTAAATCTTATCTTATCCGACGCTTTCCGCTCTCTGAGGGACTTTTATGTGTGTCTGTATATATATATATATATATATAGATAATCTAAATTGTACTACATTCTGAAAGATTTATCAACATCGGTTGGTGAATATCAATTTTATTGTGAAAATATTGAATTGCATAATAAAATATGATATCGTGTATACACTAGAATTCTATAATGCACATTTTAAGCTGGCTATTATTGAAGTAATGAATGGCGACCATTTTGTTTGCAATGTTTTTGAACATTCATTGCTTAAGGAACAGAGACTTAGATGGGAACTTAATCTATGATTTTTCGTTTCATTTCATCTTTTACAAGAGAACTGTTTGATGGCTGCAGTTACCTATTTCCTACCGGCAACAATAATCGGTGTTCAAGTTCTTTTAAATACCAAGCTTCCCAATGTTGCTTTCTAACCGATCAAATTGATCCCACTTGAAAGATTGCCGGAACGCAATCTTCCTAGCTGCATCTGTAGTGAGTTTCGATAAAATATGTAAGTAAAATATAAAAAAAATTTAAACTAAAATAAGGCATTCATTTTCTATTAAAACACTTTTCTATTTCTTTCTTTCTCTCTATTATTCTCTCTATATACTTCTCTCTCAGCTAACGAGAAGTCAACCCTCAAATAAAAAAGAAGAAGAAAACACTGAACCCAACTGCAAAACGGCGTAAGTTTGCCGGAC